GGATGGATAGGTCCGGGCAGCGAATTTAATCGATCTTTCATCCCGTGATCAACGAAAGGGCATTCAGGCCGGCCTTGCCCGTCAATTCTCCCAGTGAGAAAAGTATCTAAACCAGAAACGGGCCAAATAGTCAGTGAAAATTTAACACAAAGAGTTCGAGCGAAGAGCTGTATGCCTCGATGTTATAAGAAGAGTTAAACGAGGTCACGTGGATTCTTCATCGTTTAATTTGAGTTACAGTTTTATGACAGGCAGATTACGTTAGAGGCATCGCAGTACACCACACTTCAGTAAACATTCCTGTAGTTATATTTCGAGCACAAAATTTGGTAGTTAGCTTATCATTAACAGGGAAAAATGGAACAATTCGATCACCTCAAAGAGCCCACAGTTCATCGGTAGAATACATATCGCCAATTTAGGAGGTCGATTTCTCTGGCCCTTCTCGCAGCAAAGCAATTTTTGATGTGCCACTTACCCATTTTGCAGTCCACCGCAGGAACGCTTTTCTAGGGTATCAATCGTCAAACTTGCAAGGTAAATGAAATAATTTGCCCGTTTTTGGCCACTTTCTCATTAATTTCTATAGAGTTTTCAGTTGACTTTGAAAAGAATGATGAGGTCTAACTAAACGGTATTTGCTCTAAAAGGCTATGAAATTTTCGGGCTAGAGGAACATTAGCAGCCGTTTTTTTCCATTCCTCTTTTTTGAGCTACCATTACCAAATTTTGACAGTTTATCTCCATGTTGCAGTCCTAGCGATGTTCTTTACGGTATATGTTGATGGTCGTAGGGGTTCGTATGTTTTCGCCACCTTGTTGTTGGACTCGGCAGTCCGCAAAGTCGCATCATCTCCGGCATTTTAGTGATGATCTCGTGACACCTACTGTCTCTTTTTCGTTTCGACCCTTTTCTCCACGATGAGCTCCTCTTGTTTCATTTCCCTGATGGGTGTGACCAGCAAGTTTGGATATTATATTATCTCCCCCATGACAAGGAGCGTTCCGAACCCTCACAGGTTCTCACTAACAATACGATTCTATCTCACTACATCATATCAATCTAACTATTAATTTTCGAGTGGAGCAATTGTTTTCTCCTACATTTTCTAAATTGGGGTCTTGCTGAACTCTGCCCCCGATTTCAAGTAGGAGTTTTTCACTGTTCTTTTGTTAGTTCAACATATTTACCAAATATTGTTGAATATAGTTTTTGAATGACAGTCCGTTATTTATCGGATTGACGTAATCTGCATAGCATACTTCTCATTTCTGTTGTTTATACAGTGGTTCACACAGACCTGTAATTATTTTTTACCACAGCATTAAGTTCGTAATTAAAAGGGCCATCGGGCCTTACAAAAACAATTTATTCATTTGCTTATCGCTCTTGAGTTGTAATAAGCATTAAAAGCAAACGCGTAAAACCCTGTTCTATCCTTCGTTCCAGATTGTGATTGAGCGGAGGTCAGCGCTCTGTAGATTAGCCGGTGTTAATCGGTCAAGCAGATTAAAATAATCGGAAAATACCTCACCAACAGGTCATATTTGAGGGTTAGCCCAGTGAACACATGTCTGCGGTTAGAGCTTAAGATGGTGACTACAGTGTACGCAAATGCACTCTTTTAGAGAGCGTTGACGTATTGCTAAGATGCACCTGAGTTACTGATGCAAAAAAGGAACGACACCGGCAAAAGTGACAACGCATATCAGAAGACGGGAAGTGCATTTAAACGTACTTATCCGCAAGCGTTAGCTGAGAATCAACTGCCCATTCGAGAGCGATTCTCTGCCAGCCATGACTGCTCATCTTTGCATGAACTGCTTCGTAAATGCGGACAAGCAAGCGTGGAACTCCGGCGAACAGCGTTGGGCGTAAGGCGACCAGGTCCTGCATAAGGGTCGGCAACCCGCCCAGTGAGTATCCAATCCTGCCACCGGCATAGAGCACTAGAAGCTGTAAGCAATAAAGGACATAAATTTGTCCTGCATAAATGTATAAACGCAGGTCTCGTAAAGGGGATGTAGTGAATCCAACCGTTTCGTTTAGTATAAAATCATTTTTGTCGTGAACTCTACAACAAACGTCATAAGTTCATTTAGGAAAATGTACGTATATACTGAACGATAAGTGGCATTGCGCTGAGTGGTCTTTATCGTAACTTTTGAAAAATAAAAGGTAACAGTTGAGATAAAATCCGTTCGGATATAATGTGAACAATGTGTGGCTGAAAATACTTCTTCTTTAGCTTTGAGAATTTGCCATCTTTAACCAACCACTAGCAGTGCACGGAACAGAATCAGATTTGACAAATGAAACATCGCTCACCGGGACAGCCGTAAATTCTTGCTGACTTTTCGGAGAGCTTGGCCAGCTCTCGATCATCCAAGCATCTACGGCCAATACCAGTCGGAGTGTTGAATGACTGGCCGAACTTGATGGACTTAGGCTGATTGATTTTTTTGTCTTGTTCGCTGCCTGGACCCTCGCGTATGGATGTTTGCGTAGCTTGACGGCGGTGGAAGTGACGAAATGCAACACCAGCGGCCGTTGGGTTACACAAACATCCGTACGAGGACCAAGGCAGCGAACGAGAGAAAAAATAAATCAGCCCAAGACCGGCAAGTACGGCCAGTCGTTCGGAACACTGGTCGATATTGACTGTAGACGCTTTGAAAATAGAGAATCAGCCAAGCTCCTGAAACGTCAGGAAGAATTCAGACCTATTCCAGTCAGCCACTAAAAGTACTCAGATGTTCCTCCCACACTTTTGCGAATCTGAAAATTTAAATCGCAAACTCAGAAACCCAGTGCTTAACTGATCCCCTCCCACAGTTGCGGGATACTCTCAGAAACTACAAGCGAGACATGACTCGAGAGTTACTTGTTATCACGGACTGTAATAAAGATAAAACCCTTCCAGTTTATCATGGTCTGCATCCCAAGTGTTAGTATTATTAGATGTAATAAGAGCAGCAGGCAGTAAAACGTCTCACGATCGGTGCCCCCAACCAAAAATGGTCAAAACCGGAAATTTCACAGATTTTAATTACAATCAGAGAGTTCTTCTTTCCCAGCAGTGAAATTTTGAATTTTCGCACAAAGAGATGGGCGTTCGACCGAACACTCACAGAATATAATGATAGGGACGTGTTCCAGACCTCGACAGTGTTTGAGCAAGCAACAGAAAAACGTGCACTACAGTAACAAGAAAAATGTAATTTTCGGGTTGCAAGAGATAGGTCGGCAAGAAGCTGGTGTAGTAACATACATAGCCCAGTGCTGATGTCGAAAAAGCGAAAGGGAAACGGAAGTGATAATTTGGTTTGTGAGAACATGTTGGTGCCCACCGGAACGAGATTTTTTCGCTGACTTTTTGGAGAGCTGGACCGGCTCTCCTTTGACATAGCGTAAACTGCCATTATCGATCAGAATCTGGAATGTGCGGCTAACTTGTTGGCCGTGGGCTGGTCAATGTTTTCTTCCTCGTTCGCTGCTTTGCCTGTCGAATTGGTTTTGGCGTCGGTTGACGGCAGTTGGTGCTGTGCTTCTTCACTTCGGTGGAGGTTGCTGGTAATCCTACTCCTTAATCAGGTGTCCAACTGGACTAGTGTAAACTACACTATTCAGAATGTCCACCAGCAGAAAACAAGTACTGCATTTCGACAGCAACCATCCGTTTGTATCGCAAATATATTGCAGCACAACAACCGACAGAAGAGCTGAACAACAATATTTTCATCAGCCCTTCCGAGTTAACGGATACCCAAACTGTTTTATCAAACAAAACAATCGCCGAGTGAATATAGAACGACCAAAAGGACAGCAACCTGAAGTCTGGAGGGCCATTTATTGCACGAAGAGAGTCTCCAAAGTAGTCTGTTTAATGTTGCAGCCCATTTGAGGGGACATAGTCCACTGACCTCGGGCGACATAACGCGTCCGTGTAATGCAACCTAAAGACCGACTGCTCCCTTCTGAACCCTCCGTAGTCGTCTACATTATATGTTGCAACGATGGGGGCTGCAGTTACGTTGGATAAACAAGGCGAACTTTGCAGAGCCTCTTACACGAGCATAAACCGGCGGCTCGGAGACTGGACCCAAACTCGCAGCTCACAACTCATATCGGAGAGACTAGTCATACCTAAGATATTCAAGCACCAACCATCGTAGGCCAACGCAACTCAACTACGGAAAGACTGACGCTTCAGGCATTTTACTCAGATGCCAACTCCGTCAACAGGCGTCTACAGCTTCCTGTGGTCTACAAACTCCTACGCCATTACATGAATAAAGGTCGGGGCAAGGTCAGCCTAAACTGAAGAAGTAGAGGCGAAGACTGCCCCGCGACGAACTCAGCGGAAGAGGGGGCAGGTTTACCAGAATCCTTTGCCGTGGGGAGGAAGCGCAATGTCAACATCCATACGAGGGGCGAGGCAGCGAACGAGGAAGGAAAAAAGTGGTATTTTCACGGCAGACAAGCATATTAAATTGCTGATTAATACAGTAGTCGCCGGCTATAAAGCCCACGGTTAATAATATCGCCGCTTATTAAGCCCAATTTGGTCTGGGCCTGAGGTGGGCTTAATAGCCGGTGACTACTGTAATGGTAGTTAACGCTTTGACGAAGGAGAACCGGCTAACTCTGCAAAACGTCAGGGTAGACAAAAATCTCGTTTTGGTGAGCATAAACATTTTCTCGGACTCCTATCCCGGAACTCTTCGTTTTGAAAACTTGAATTTTGGTTTAGTTCAAAGTGGGTAGCAATCCTTATTTGCGGCCAGAAATAAAGCGGAGTGAGGTTTACTTCAGAAAGATTTTAAATATTCCAGATAGCCCTAGACAAGCCCTCACTCCATGGCCTAACTGGCAAAGCGTCAAATGTGATGGCCAATTCAAATCTGCGGACTGCAGTATGGCTTACCTGCAAAATAACCCATATCGCTTATCGATTTTCCGTCGCTATGCTACAATCGGGATGGTTCTAGCCCAACGCACCGAGTCAAGATGAAGCAAGCAATTTTTTTCCTACAGTCAATAAGAGCCATGGGACATTCTCGTTTGCGATTTATTGACTTCTTCTGATCACCATCACCCTTCAAGAGTTTTGGCCACCACAACGTGCTTTAGATTAAAAAAAACCGTTAAACAAATTTTCAGGGGATAGACACGCCAGCTGCATTCATGTGTAACCACCAGTACTTACCTCGACCATCTGTTCATATATATGGGCCAGCGGAAGGAAGGCAAGGTGTACTGCATCTTCGGACACCAACTGGGTGGAAAGAAACATTTATATATGAAATTGATAAAAGGCATCCCAAGAATTATCATTTGAAAAAAAAAGTTCTTCGGGAAAGCAAAACAAAATTTATTCGGTTAATTTTCGACGCTGATTGCCCCCGTCGTCGTCAGTCTACAATACTGTTTTAAGTTTGAAGTTTAAGCTGTTCAACTCTTTTACACGCTTACTGCACATCTAGGGACACAGCGTCAAAAATGTGCATAATAAAGTTAGTTAACATTTGCCACAGGATTTCCTTCCCTCAGAAATAATGAGTGGCCGGTCAATAAACATGCTTTGCTTTTTGTAGTCTACAGGTTAATTGCGGACCACCGATCAACTTCAACCCATTTCCGCATTTGCAAAAATGTAATCCTATAAAAAAACGAACCTCTGGTGTTTGTTGTATCATACCAGCGAGTGTTCCCAGAATTGCACGGTTTGTGAGAGTAACGCCTTTTGGCATGCCTACGAGACAGGAGAAATGAAAAAAGACGATAGATTTATTCGCCGTACGTAAAAATCGATCATAACAAAAAGAAGCGGTGGAATGGCCTTGCCCTCAGTCACTCAACAGAGAAGAAAGGGCAACGTCGAAACATCGGAAAAATAATAAAGTACAATACTGAATCCTGATTCAAACAATTTAAAATTAAGGCAATGTTTTGTTGCTGAAAATGTGAAAAACAGACTGATATTACTGACCAGTAGTTCCACTTGTGTAGCAAATTAGAAGAAGTTCGTCCACGCCAGCGGGCTGAAAATATATAAATAGGAAAAAAGATGAGATCTCTAGCCAAGGTGCTTTTAAAAATATCTGAAAGATTTTTTTCTATCAACTAAGCTCGTTTTTTTACGAAAATATCGCGAGATAGAAAGAGTTTATCAATGTTTATCAGCAGAAGAATTATAACCTGCGAAATATTTATCTCATAAACTATTAAGCGAAATTCTAAAATGTGTTTCCCATTCAAGCGGATTAACTCCGTTTGGTTGCTTTACTAATTATTGTACAAATTAAGCTTTTGTAAAAGTTTATATTTGACCACCTGAAAAAAAGAAAAATTCTGTAAAATTTGGCTACTTAAGTAGTACACACTTTTTCTCATTGATTTTCATGGCTCCTATGAATTGAAATGTAGTTTAATAAAAATTCTCTTTTGTATGCTTTCTTGCACTTGCTTAGTAGAACATTGTGTCGTCCTCAAATTATGTATTCGAAGAAAGGGTATCTTCAGGTTTCAAAAAGTTTATAATTATAAGACTTTTTAGGACCATTAAGTGTTCATTCATAAAGTAACCTTCTTGTCCATTTATGAAAGCTATCTGTAAATTATATAACCTTTTTCACATCCCTAAAAAAACATTCTGGAACATTATGATTTCCTTCCCACACCGTCTGGAGATAGTTACTTATCTTAAGACGGAATGTACATATACAGCATGTAGTTAAGAGATATTGAATTCAAGCGTCATAGCTGGTAGAGTTAAACATTACTCGGCAATTCAGAAAGCTATTCGAAACCAAAGGTGTCCTTTCTTCAGGTATGAAAGTTAAAGAAAGCGTAATTTACTACTAACCCTGCACAAGAAAGAATATTTTTGTGCATTTTTTATAACATATATTTGACTTCATAGGCACTGTGAAGAATGCATGCTACTTAAGTAGCCACGTTTTACAGTGTAACTTTTGGCAGGCGCTCAGAAGAATGTACGCTTAAAAGCCAGCAATCGGATGTGACTTAAATATCTCGAGGTAAGACTGCACCATAATCAGTATTACAAGCCTACTTAAGTAATATTTTCAAATAGAAAACGCATTTCAGAATTTTGGTTGACGTTTCATCAGATAGGGAACCTACTGTAATAAGTAAGTGTGGGCAAGGCCCTGCGAACTATGAAAAGCAGGCACTATTTTTAATGTGGATCGTTGTTTCCTCCTACCTCAACTTTAAGGCAACAGGCAACATTTATATAGCTACTCTCTCCCTTTCCAAGCTGCGTGAAAACCTAGTTTGCGCAAGATTCAGTCCGTTCTGCAAATGCCATGCTAATCCTTCTCGATCGCTCAGGAAGGGACTAATAATTTATCCGACGATGACAGTTTAATCATCGAGTTAAGCGATCTCAGCCGCAACTTGCTTCAGCGGGCCAAAAGCAAACGCGGTGACTTGCGCGTCTTTCGACGAGCTCAGATACATTGTTTACACATGGGGGTTCGCCAGTTCGTTATTTTTAGCGCCTCGGTGGTGGACGCTTTGAAAATACCTCTTTTGAACCGCCTTCGCCGTATGCATCGACGAACAAAGTCCATGTGATACCTATTTTTGAAAAAGAGTTTGAGAAGATATTTTATTTATGTTCGATAGGCTTCTTCATCCGAACACTGCGTTTTCGTTAGATTTAGTATTATGGTCTACCATGCTCAGATCTGTTCCCTATGTTAGTCCAGTACATCTGCCACGCGGTTCGTTTAGAAGGCAAATAATATATTCACATCAATAACCAATGCCCAAAACTGATGAGAGTTCGACCGCCGATGATGATGACATGCGCTGGATTATGGTGAGAGTATACTGATGCTGAATCTACCCCAAACTCCCTCCCACTCCCCCCACCTGGGCTCGGTGTCAAGACAGAGCCAGGAAAACGGGAGATGGGAGAGGGCACAAACTGCTGGCGCGGTCGGAGTCAGCAATGAGTGTGCCACCACATCGAGCTCGGATCCCAGCTAATCGGGAATGTCATAAAGGCCGCATAAAGAAGGAGCCATCGGAGCCTGACTCTCAGTTCGCCAGTCAGCCGCTCCACTCCGCACAACACACACTGGGCTGACCGCTTAGTCTGAGCTATCCAGTCAGTTGGCAAACTCCCAATTCACGGTCTTCGGCGCACCGTCATAGCTTCAGGCGCGTCAAATTGTTTATAGTGGAGAAATGCGCTGAACCATCGAACTCATTCTCTCCTCCACTCCCAGCATCAGGCCACCGCCCGAACCGGTCAGTTGTCTGATGCGCGCGGTGACGCAGTGGCTGACGGAGCAAGCGAACCCATCTGGGCCAGGTGTCAAGACAAAGCCAGGAAGACCGGAGACGGGAGAGG